TTTTTTTTTTTTTTTTTTTTTTTTTTTTTACTGTTTTATTGAACTTTGAATATTAGAGATGAACAAAAATTCAAGAAATCTTAACATTTCGTTATCTCTAATGTTCAAAATTTAATAAAATTATGGGGAAAAAAGCAAATTTTAAGTGATTATTATAAAGAGGAAATTTCAATCCCCAAGAAAAGAATTCTTTAATATTATTAGAGGCATTTGAATTTCTACAAATTTCGAGAAAAAAGTATCGTCACTTTCCCACTTTGTTACACGATGTAAAACCATCTTTAAAAAGAATTCAGGATTGTCAAAGTAAAGGCGTTCTACGTTTTAAAATGAAATTAAACGGATTGTTATACGATCCTTTTTTACGAAGTTATGAAGTTTAAATTATCGACAATTTTTCATCGAGCAGTTGTCCTCTTCGCTGCAATATACTGGATTTCTTTATTATTTTAAGGTATAAATAGAGCAAATATATGTACACAAACATATTTGATTTCTTGATAGAATATTTACTACATTTACAAAATGTAGGATTACAGTTGCCAACTTACTTAAAAGTTTGAACTTCAAATTGAAGATTGTAAAATTCCAACAAGAAACTTTTATATACGAAAAGTAAATGATGCATGTGACATGTTAGCAAGGCTAACTCTGGCAAGTCATAATATATGTCGATTCTGTGAAAAGTATTACAAAAAATATGATCATAAAATTCGCAATAGTTAGATCTGGTTACTTGATTAATGAAATGAAAATCTAAAGTAATGTAAATAAGTGATAAAAAGTTTCAATATAATGAATTGGGACAGTTGAAGGATCTTCTGGTAATGATAAATTTATAAAGGATTCAAACGAATATCTTTGAAAGATCAAGAATTAAATTGCACGTATAATAATATTATTCTTTCTAAATTTTTTACTGTATATATAATTTCTTAAAATGAGTTTCCTCTTCTACAAGAGTAAAATAAGAAATTCGCTTCGTTTATCAAAAATATGAATTTGCGAGTGCATGTTTATACATATTCAACTATTGAATTTAATTATAGTTCGTTCAATTGCAAGATTCACTATGCTACAAAATTCGTATAGCTATCTCGTGACGAAGATGAAAAATCAATGACAAAAAAAAAAAAAAAATGAAATAAACTGAATTTAATTGAATAAACCGCAGACCGTGAAGTAAAACAATCCTCATACGCTGAGTGTAAGAAATAAATAATTTATTATGTTATCCTTTCCTTTCTTTTTCTCGTTGTTTAATTTCCCTTGTGTTTCGATGTTTAACAATTAAACGAGAAAATTTCAAGTTTGCACGTTCGCAAGGTATATTTCGGGGGTTGGTGTTGAAACGCGTGGTATTGTTGCAACGAGCGTATGTCCGCCCGACAGACCGGAAGACCGCAAATAGTAATTTATTCTGTGTTGTAAGAATGTTGCCAGGGAATAATTACACGAACTTTACAATGGAATCGTCTCGTTTGACGCATCTTCCTTTTTCTTCGTTCTTGCGATTTAACGTTCCTTCCTAAATTTAATGCTACAGAACTTTCCTCTTCTGCTTTTCACTGTTACATTGTATATGTAATATTCATATGGTCGAAAGATACAGAGAACGTGATCTTTATTTAACGAGATAGACAGATATTTAAAAATGTTCAATTGCAGTTGACGTTAAATTAATTTGTTAACAATGCGTAATGAATGTAAGAATTTGTCGATTAATAACTTCGTATAATGATGGAAGAAAAGGAATTCGCGAGCAAGGGAAACAATTCAATTTTTTCCCCTGTCACCCTGTTTTTTTTTTTCTGTTTGCAAGCAAAAGAGGCATAGCTTGTCCCAGTTACGTGACTAACCTCGTATATATCTTCGTTGGGAACATCTCTGATGTTCAGGTAAACTAAAAAACACAGGTAGTACTAACTGGTAAACTGGTAAAATAAATTTACCTGTTCTAAATATAATTAACTAAATAATTATGTCGTTAAAACAGAATTTACGTGATTAAGTTTATGAAAAGAGGTAAAAGTTGCAAGTAAAAGGAAAGAAATCGAATTATTGATTTTCTAATAAATCTTCTTCCGTTTCATCTCCTATTGTCATTACAGCAAATAAATTTAATACGTCAAATAAGTTTCAACGTAAGCTGAAATAGAAAACATGGTGCATGAAATTGATCGATGACATAGAATAACGATAAAAGCTATCCGATTCTGTGATCAGTTATTTCTCGAATAGTTTCCAATATCGATACACGATTAACGTAACATATCGTTACTCGGACCATTTGTCCTCCAGATTCCGCGCTGTGCTTCCTTATGAGAATTTCAAGTGCTTCTTTAATACAGTTAGGCTCTAGTTCGTGTGGGAGTTAAGGCTTCCTGGAAAAGTCCCGTTAGATAAATTTCAATTCAAATGGAAAATTTCAATATCGCGTGAGCCACGTGAGAACAGCGGATTTCCCATTTTTCAGGATACCGATACGATATTCGATTAACACATTCAAGACGGATTCAATAATCATACGTTCAAAAAAGGCGTGAAAAGTCTTCTTTCTATTATTATACAAGTTCTGAACTTATGATGACAGATCGATGTTAAAAATATAATGACATGAATTTGAAATAACACGTAAGTATAGTAAAAGTATAGCAAAAGAAAAAGATGTATTCCTTCTCTTTCTACGTTGGAAAATCGATCGAAGCTCGAATTGTGTTAAAATTTATTCTTATACAGAAATAGGCTGTTACTCGAAAATTTCAATCTACGTATTCTATTATCTGCGGATTTTTATATATTTATAGGAAATTGCAAAATGCAAAATTAAACTGCGTGCAGCATGAAAGATATATAAAATATCTAAGTTCAATTATTTCTTATAATAATCAAAAGATG